GGCCCGCGCCGCACGCACGAAAGGGCACCAAGAGGTCGGCAGCGTGACAACTGCTAAAACATCTGACATGGCTTCCATTCCGCGGGATGCACTCACCCCTGATTACACACCTCTGTATTCCCTTATTTTGCTGGGAGACACCAATCAGATGTTCAGAATTTTAAAACACATTCTACAAAATTCTCTGGTACTGAATTTCAAAATCGAAATGCTCCGCTTCTGAACTCCAAATTCTACAAAACTCCACCTTCTGCATTGTACAGAATTTTATTGTTCTTAATTCCAAATTCTAAATTATATCCTTGTGTATTGTACATTTACAGGTTCTCGATTCTTTACAAAATCTCCAGATTCTGAATTTCAGATTTCAAAGTGTACAGACTCAGAATTTCATATTTTTAATTCTGTGGGTTTAGAATCATAGATTTGCAGTGTGTAAATTGAAGAAGAAGAAAAATCAGGCTCTGAATTTGAAATTGCGCCTGATTTTATATCCTTCAGGCCACATTGTTAGAGCCCCAGTGCAGATTAACACTGGACCAGGTGAGTATCAGAGTGATATTCTGTTACCCACAGCAGCAGCCTTTAAATGTCTGCTTTACCATAATCTTGCCTGGTGGGATGGCTGGACTTACGGCGACGGGTAAACAGAGGAAGTGCACCCCCTCATCTCAATCACTGGGCCTGAAGCAAGCAAAGTTGATTATAAGCAGAGAATGTGAGAAGCTGCAGATGGATTACAGCTCACCTGCCACGTGTGTGAGTGGGAGTTGTGGGGGGAGGAAGCTGATTGCCTCTACCACTTAATCTTAGGATTCTCCTGCAGCTGAACATTATACAACATGGGGGCCAGATAGGTGGGGGGGGGGGTTGTTTGCACCTGCATCACAGTGTTCCCAGGGTGCACCTGTCCACCCCTCCCGACAATGTTAGGCAGCTCAGGCATGAAATGCATCTAAGTGTTTGTTTCCAGCAGATTTCATCCCCCCCCCCCCACACCTTCCCAGCCATGCCTTGACATTTTGCTCAATCTCCTGAGATCAGGGGGGTGAGATGAGGGTGACCGGTAGCTTGCCAGTAAACATGTAACGCGGCTCGATGTGGAGGGGCACGGCGAGGTAAGGGGAGGGGGGTCAGATGGAGGAAGATAAGAGGGCAAGGCCACCTGTTTGGGGGGGGGGGCAGGCAGGAGCGTCATTGTCGCGCATGTGACACGCCCTCAGTGTCATGGAGTCCACGTGTCAGCAGTGCACCTTGCACCATCACTGGGGTAACAAAGACGTTCCAAGTGAGACTCATGCAGTGACTTAATTAAAGACAGACGACAAAACGGACGCGGATGCTTTCGGCAAGCAGGTCATTCCACAGCAATAAGAGAACTGAGGAAACTCGTATTTCAGATTGAATTAAACGGTAAAGTGCCTCCTGGCCGTATTTACGGGCCCCGGAACCTCACTGGCCAACAAGAGCCCGGTAACGAGGGTCTTTGTGTGCACGCGTCTAATGGAGGGCGGCTCATTCTTCTGTCCGGACAGCGGGAGGCCTTGGCAATTACAGCTCTGCGGTGAGGGGACATCAGGAAGGTGTGTGTGCCAGTCTGGGTGGGAGGCGAGGTGTGACATGGGCCCGATGTCCTCAACTCTCTAGGAACAACGGCTGGACTCTACGTTTCACCCCCCACTCCACGCCACACGCACGGCGAGGGCACAAGGACGCGGGCGGCTAGGATGCGGGAGTGCGGCTTTTAGCCGCGCGGCCTGAGCGATGCATCTTGCTGACTGACGCTAATTAAATCTCCCAGCGGCCTCCTAAACACCTGACAAATAGAATAAACGTTGCGGGCTGCGAGCAATGCTCGTGCCAACCGGAGACACAGTCCTGACTGCACCTTAAAAGCAAAAAAACACTGAAATAAACAAATAAATGACACTTAATCATTCGATCACGGCTACTACTACTACAATAATAATAATAATAATAATAATATCATCATAATAATAGCCAACAAACAAGCCTGATTACTGCTGGGCTGCTCTGTGGTTGGCTTGATTGAACAGTTGGCTTTATTATAGTTGTCTTGATTACAAGTGCTGGACCATCCCTCCATGTGTAAATAAAATTGTATGTCGCAAGACCCCCCCCCATGTCACACCTCCTGGTTCCAGACCACATCCGCCCTACTGTTGCGATCTCTCACTACCAACGCTAATCGTTCCCATGGCGACATCAACAAAAACAAAAAAATGGCGTCCCTGGTACTTTCCGGACTCACGCTCAGCCGTAACTGGAGTTTCACGAGACCGGCTCTGAATATTAAACACGCGAGTGAAACATCTAAATTCCAGACGCAACTGCCGGCATGGCGCCGGGCCTCGGTAGACGGGGCGAGCCACTTCATTCGCAGGTAGCTGCCCCTGGAAGCCCGCCCCCCCCCGGGTGTGGATCGGCGCCTGCCCCCACGTCGCTCATTGCGGGATCTCCCGTGGCAACGGCGTCGGGTTAATTGCAGTCACTTTTATAGTTCCCGGTGACTCGCCTAGGTAACGAGACGCGGTGGAACGAGGAAAGCCCCCTCCACCCCCCCCGACACCCCCAAACAAACGGGCCGGGAGATAACACATGCAAGAAGAGAGACGGAACGCACGCGGTGATAAATAAAAGCCAATACGAAAGAGCGTGACAGTGTGATGTACCAACCATTCAACCTCATTTGCAGAACATGCTCCTGTCACATGTAAAACCCCCCCCCCCATTCCTAAGCCTAACTTGGAACAGCACCAGTAGCTGGCTGGCAATGGGCAGCACAGAAATTTCACACAATAGAGGGGGGGGGAGGCAATTGTAATGCAACCTGCTTTTAAAAATCTCAGCCAACCGATTAATCCTGATCTGGATAAGAATCCATAATAATCCCATAATAACTGAGTCCACTCAGTCGGCACGGCGGCTGAGATTAGAGTGACCCCCAATCGTGGCTGCCTTGCCCACGTACTCCAACCTTACTGTTTAGTGGGCGGCCCGTGGGCACAGCGAATGCTAAGCTAACACAGGAAGCACCATGTTTCCAGCAAGAAGAGCTGAAGAACATCAAATAAATATGACTGCAACAAATATCAGAGCAGTTTCAGTACAGTTCTTTTATGATGCATGAAAAATATGAGAATATCACAGAAATAATAAAATACTACTACTAATATTAATAATAATAATGTGGCAATAACGACTGACCAGCTCCCCTCAATTTGTGAATCATTTTAAATGCTTCAATTAAAACACATTTTTAAAATCTCTAATAAAATAAAAGCCAACTGTTAAAATAAAAAATATATTCACAGTATAAAAATGATACATTGTATACGAGATGGAAGACGTGACATTTAAGGGCTCCACATGGCCGGATGTGCAGGGATCGTGGCTCCGGAGCGTGTGCCAATCAGGATACCCGCCATGCAGGAAGACACCCCCGGCTGCTGGCGTTTAATTACAGCTGCGGGCTGTGCTGGCGTGACGCGCTCACGCGTCTGCGCCCTAACGAGTGACAGCACCCAAAGCTCATTTCATCATCCAGCCCTCCCTCTGCTGTCCGTCAAACGACGTCATGTTGGAGTGGCCAGTGGGGACTGGCACGTCTCCACATAAACACACACAAACCTAACCATCACACCCACCCTCCTCTCCGAGGTTCGGCCATAAAGGTAAATGACTTTACAGTTTCAGATGAATTTCTGGCATTTCTGACTAAGAAACTGACTTACAAACTGTTACTACAATGATAGTAATAAATAGCAAGATGATGATAATACAGACTGCTTGTCAAAACTCAGTGCTAGGAGGGGGTCACAGCCACAACTCCGAAATCCTACAAGACAGACACCTTCACTAACTTCTATCACAGTCCCTGTGTCTGAGTGAGAGATGCAGTACTTTGGCTGCCGACAGGCAGAGGCTGTACAAGCCCCCCCCCCCCCCCCTTCTCATCAGCTGGGGTGTGTGGCCCCAGGGCTCCGAGTGGGGGGGCGAAGAGGGGGGGGGTTGTCCTGCAGGCTTCATTCTGCCACACTGTCCGCCTCCCTGCCAGGGTTTGGCTGCCTCCAGCAGGAAGCAGACTCACACACACACACACACACACACACACACATATACACACACACACACACACACACACACACAGTGCCCCAAACCACAGCCTGGCATGACTGAGCCCCCCATACAGCACAGCTCTATCACACTCATCTCTCACCCTGCCAACTTTAACCTGTATTTCTGTCATTTTAAAAGGGTATGAATTGAAAAGAAAACAAAATCAGCTACCCCTTTTAACTAAAAAGTGCACAACATTTTATAGATTAGGCCATGCAAGACAATAAATCTAACACATTTGTAAAATAAAATCACTCTACGTATATTTCAAACTGATAAAATCCAGCTTTGAAAAATGACAAAATGATTTTTAGTCAGAAATTGCAATAATAAACCCCTTTGTAGCACATGGAGATGTCAGCCTCATTATAATCTTTAATTAGCTCACATGTAAATCTTCTTTGGTCAAAGGTTTGCCTGCCAGCACGAGGCTCATGTTTCGGCGCCCTCTTGTGGACAGCATGGTATCGCAGTCACCAGCACGCGGCCCGGCCGTCTGCCGCGCACCTCGCTTAAGGCCTTGTAGCTGCCCCCCCCCACACACAAACCCCCCCCCCCACCTGACTGCAAGGAGACCCCCACTATGGCAAACCCACCCCGCGACGCCCTGCAGTTCCCACGGAGACACCGAGAACTCCGGCACGGCCGGCCAGCCAACCAGCCCGACACAAGTTTAAAAAAAACAACACAGAAACACACCAAGGAGAGAAGCCAGTCATTTAAACAAACAGCGAGCAGCAGCCCGGCTACAGTGGAGCATTTAAGGGATAAGAGGAGAGAATAAAGGAAAGAGACTGTGAGCCCGTCGTTAGCCGCCGCTACCACTCCGCTAGCCGGGGACACGGGGAAACACAACTTACCTGCTGTTGTTGCAGATGCAGCAGTTCGACTGTGCTTATGTCGCCGACCACATCGGCGCTTGATCTGCCATCCCTGCCGCTGGCGTCTAATTGGCTGCTCATTCCATTCTGATTCACGGCGCTTATCGCCTCTGTCGCCGACTCCTGCATCATGACTCGGAAACCTGCAAGTGATTAAGGGGCATCAATTAATACGCCTGTTATTTTGGTTGCCACCCAAACCCCCTCCCCCCCCCCGCACTGCAATATGAGGCTGCTGTCCTTTCTCTGCAAATTAAAAAGGCTGTGGGGGCCGGGCAGGGCTGTGGGGGCCGGGCAGGGCGGTGGGGGCCGGGCAGGGCGGTGGGGACCACGTAGGGTAGAATATATATGCTTGCTGAAAAAATGAAAGTATAAAAAAAAAAAACACACACACACACACAATAAGGTGAATTCTGAAGGTGGTTCAAGAAAAACAAATGTGAGAAATATTCTGGCAGGAGAAATTTAATATTTTTTCAAGAACTTTTTTTTTTTTTTTTTTTAACACACAAAAAAATTATATATATATATAGGCAAATAGTTATACACATCTACAAATACAAAGGAATTAATCCACGGCGCGGGCCGATGCTGCGGCATGTGTGACACCAGTAAGGGACAGGCAGCCCTTAAAATAGTCTGGCCAGACCACTGGCCATTGTGCAGTGCACCTCAGAATGGGCCAGTTTAATGACGCACAGCTAATCATGCAGAATTTAAATTTTGCGAGTGTGCCACAAATCATATCACCTGGTGCTAGATGGTTTAACAGGACGCTTCCCATTTTTTCTTGTGGCTAAATAAAATTTGCCTGAACAGGCTTTAAAAAATAAAATTAAAAAATAAAATAAATAAAACAAGCAGCCAGCCGTCACATACTGGCTATTTTTTTTAATCAAACCAGAGATGTTTATATTTGTGACATTTAGCACGCTAAACACTACCATCCCGAGATGTAATCAAGCTACATCGCAAGGTGCAATCAAACCGCTCGGCTGCAGATGACTTAAACCTCAACTGTAACTTGGGCAAATAAACAATAGACAGAAAATTAATTTTACTGGCACGTTAGATATGAAAGCCGAAAATAAAAATCTATCAAGAATATCACTAATGACTGTGCTAAAAACAGCATAAATTATGCATATCACCTCCTCTACTGTAATAAATGTTTTATCATTTCCTCGGCACGTAGACGCACTGTACTTACCCCCCCACCCCCCCAGTCCATGATGGAGGCCCTTACGGTACCTTGTTATTTACTGCCCTAAAACAGGCCGTTTGAATCTGCTTCACTCAGAGCTCCGTTTATCTGTTAAATGTTTATGTGCAGGACACCCACCTATTGTGTTGGCAAAAGGGAACTAATATTTAAGCTTTTTGCACCCCCCCCACACGCACCCAACCCCTTTTGCAGGCACTTCCGCTCCGCTATTATAAGGCCAAACACGTCAATTTTGTCACATGCGAGATCAGTAATTCATTTCAAGTACTGAACTGGAGTCACTCTGTACCACGACTGCTCCGAATGGAAGATAATCACAATCAGGGGGCCTCTCTGCACAACAAAGGGGGG